CATTTCCTTCAGCTCATACTATAAACAATAATTTAATAAATAATTAGCACCTGGCGTCATATTCCTAGCGCTCGACTTCATCAAAGTAGGAAACCCTCAACCTCACCCACGCTTGGTGCCACACAACTCGTGTCTGACGTAGATTAGGTAAAGGTCCCTAAGACCTTAAGACCAACGTGGCAAAGTCTCACACTTAACCTTATTTAAAGTAGAGTCTCTAGCTGACTCATGCCTAGCGTCACCATACCAATGCCCGACGTCAACTAGGCAAAGAGTTCTGACTTGGTCATGTTAGGCACTTCCAAGCATGCGACAAGTCAACTATATATATATGTGTATATATATTTCACAAACAACATATAAATGCAATCAAAATCAACATGCAACAACTATAAAATTTTCGATTCATTATGCTTCAAAACCCTAAACTTGGGTCATTCCACTTAAAATAATGCAACTCAATAATAATTCAAATTGAAATCAACCACAACAATGTAGCAACTTCACAGTGTTAAAAATTTCCAACTTCCTTTACCTTTGAAACAAAGTGAAACAGGGAAGAAAGGAAAAAGATCTTTGAACAACACCATAAAGCCTGTATGGATAACCACTCAATTCAAGCTCTTATGGACTTGAATCCATAACAAAACAACTAGAATCAGGTTACGAGGAAGGATCTCTCTCATAAGATAAAAGTTGGAGATGAAGAGAACTTACTGTTCCAAAGCTTATCTCTCTAATTCATCTCTTTAGGTTTTTTAAGACTTGAATTTATGAAGTTTAATTATAAACAAAAACCTTATATATTCCTTCCTCTGGGATCAAATTGGACTTCTACCTAAAGAAACCTTCAAAACTACCCAAACTCATAAGCAATTATTCGATTCTAGAGTTTCTCAACACCAAATCAATGGTCTACACATCATATAATTAATTAAAACAACAACCACACTCTACAACTCACAGTATTATAGAAGAGACACTTCGTACCTCTTAATTATTTTAAAAATTTTAAAAATTAAATAATAATAATAATAAAAATAATGAAGTGGGTAGTGAGTAGTTATGAAAGAGTGGGACA